GAAAACACGCAAAAATCGAGGTTGCTGCGGTTTGCTCGTCAATAGCGCGGTATTGCGATATTGCGGTTATCGCGACAGCCCTAGTCCAAACTAAGTTAAAGCTCACTCTCATCAACGAGTTTCTTTGCTAACACCTGAAGTGAACTTGATATATTCTGTAGTTGTCCTAACACGGAATCTGTCACGTTTCCTTTCACAGTGAGGCCAAGTACGCTAGTTAACCTTTTACACTACCTCCTAAAACAGCAGATTCTGTTGACCGCAGCAAAAGCCCTGCCCCTGCCCCCAGCATGTGGGATTATATTTACGACCCTTTGAAGGGAATATACTCTAGGGTGGAGTGAAGATAGTGAAGAGTATTACTATATTAATCTTTAAAGCACTGCTAGCCAGCCAAGACTCTTGCTCAGCTGTAACTGAATGCAAGTAATGCATAGTAAAAATGGCTTTACTTTAATTTCATAGCACTGGTAATGACCCTGGAGCGTAAGTCTTGTAACCCTGACCCACTGCTCGCTGAGACAGAGGTAACCACAGAAGACAGACCACTCCTGAGAGGGACAAATGCCAGATACTCGGCTAATGGTGCCCAGTATGTGCTATGTGGCTTATTCCATGTTCAAATAAATACAGAAACTGTAAATAGCCCGAATGTGGCACTCAAACCAACTGTATAACCTGTATGACCCCTTTGAACACTAGCAGCAAAAGTGCAGCCTATATTCTGCGTCATGTTATTTATTTACTGATTGGCTGATCACTAACATGAGGTCAGAACATCAGGGTCATCAGACAGCCGATACACATACATGAGGCAGACGTGCACATATACACATACCAACAATCATTCACTTCTATCGGTGGTCTTTAACCCATAAAATAATATATCAATCAGGGCTAAAAAGTTAGTGGGCCTGGTAGGGTTAAAGGTTACAAATAGGTTCAGTCCCAAGTTGGAGTGACACAGGAACTAAGAATTTATGCTCTGTTGCTTAATACTGATCACCTAATTTCTGTGTTAGCTTTTGGTCATTAAAATGTCACAATGTCTTCCATTCTGACTGAAAATCTAGAAATTATTTGCACTACCATTCAAAAGTTTGTGGTCGGTAAGATTTTTAATGTTATTGTAAAATAAGTCTTTATGCTCACCAAGGTTGCATTTATTTGATAAAAATTTTTAATATTGTGAAATATTATTATAATTTAAAATACACATTTTCTATTTGAATATATTTGAAAATGTAATTTATTCCTGTATGGCAAAGCTTAAAGGAACACTCCACTATTTTTGAAAACAGGCTAATTTTCCAACTCCCCTAGAGTTAAACAGTTGAGTTTTATCGTTTTCGAATCCATTCAGCCGATCTCCGGGTCTGGCGGTAGCACTTTTAGCTTAGCTTAGCATAGATCATTGAATCTGATTAGATCGTTAGCATCTTGCTCAAAAATGATCAAAGAGTTTTGATATTTTTCCTATTTAAAACTGACTGGAATCTTCTGTAGTTACATCGTGTACTAAGACTGACGGACAGCAGGCGCAATGATATTACGCAGCACCTGAAAATAGGCTAATTTCCGTCAACATAACCAACGTGACCACCTGCTTGCACAGGGAGCGTGCTGGGGACTATTTTCAGGCGCTGCGTAATATCATTGCGCCTGCTGCACCCATGGTATGGCAGCAAAGTTCCTTGATTATTACGCCGGAATGAGAATATAGTTCCTAGCCATATCAGCCTAGAAAATCACAACTTTTCATTTTCCGTCGGTCTTAGTACACGATGTAACTACAGAAGAGTTTTAAATAGGAAAAATATAGAAACACTTTGGTCATTTTTGAGCGAGATGCTAACGGTCTAATCAGATTCAATGATCTATGCTAAGCTACAGCTAAAAATGCTACCGCTAGACCCGGAGATCGGTTGAATGGATTCGAAAACGGTAAAACTCAACTGTTTAACTCTAGGGGAGTTGGAAAATGAGCCTTTTTTCAAAAATAATGGAGTGTTCCTTTAATTTTCAGCATCATTACTCCAGTCTTCATTTCTTATTTTTATCAACATTGAAAATAGTCGTTAATATTTCTGCAAAAACTATGATACGTTTTCTTTTCAGGATTCTTCTTCTTCTTTTTTCAGCATTTATTTAAAATTTCAGCATTTATTTAAAATAGAAATTAGAAATCTTCTACAAGTAATTATGGTCACTTTTGATCAATTTAGGTGTCCTTGCTGAATAAAAGTATTTTTTTTTTATCTTATGGACCCCAAACTTTTGAATGGTACTATACATGAAAATGTATTAATTTCACTGTATCTTATCACCTGAGCTGGACATACTCTGCAATACTGCAGCATTTTTCAAATATTTAGAATATTTCAAATATTTTAATTAATTTACTTAAGAAGCAAAACCGCATAATATTTGGTCTTACTGCACTGCAAGATTTCCCCCCTTTTAAAAAACATAAACCAGTTAAAAACAAGTCGAAAAAAATCTGCCAGTGCATTAAGACAAATTACACTTACATTCAAGATACTGTATGACAAGTCTTAATATCTTATTCAGTGTTGCTTCTCAACAAAACCTATCCTTTTACTTCTAGTATGTAATTGAAAAATAAGTTTTCTATTCTATTCTATTCTATTCTAAATAAGGTCTAATTAAAGCCCATTAAGAAGTTGCAAGCCCACTAATTTGTGAACCAAGGGTCTTGCTCATCCAGTGGGTTCAACATTAGAGTGGGAGCACATAAGGACAGCTTTCACTATATTAAAATCCTTCATTGAATCACTAATGGAAATTGGCTGCAAGTAACCTCTCAAATCCACTGGTTATTTTCATACAGTGTGTGTGTTTACATTCACACATAACTTACAGTATTATACTGAAATATGGTCTATTGAAGACTGAAGAAGATTTAAGATGTTGGGTAAAGTATCTGTTTGGTTGTTCAATGGAAGGAACATGAGCATATGAGATTCCCAAGACCTGTTTAGGATGTTATGAATTTATGTGCCTTGAATAAGTGGTTTACAGAACACATCCATTAAAGTGTCTGTCAAGTATGGCTCTTGGCAAGGGAACAAACATCATAATAGGGTACAGTACATGAGATGCATGACCCCATGACTGCTCCCTGTGCATCTGAGCTATGGACAAATAATAGACACCAATCCTCAAAAAGGTTGCTTGCACAACCTTTCAAAACTCAGACTTTCTAACCATTTAAGACAACTTAAAATACGACATATGGTTAATAAATGACATCTAAATAAATGCCCCATACGATATACGCCATACTTCTGAATCATGCAGACATCACAGCTTAACAGTGCAAGCAGTAACAATCTTTGGAATGTTACAGAAGCCTTGATGTGGCTGATGCACTTGATCACAGCAGTTTCAAGTCAACCTGTCATGACTGACATGATATATTGCTAAACTGTGATGATTCTACAGTTGTGACAGTCATATATTCTTGTAATAATGTCTGTCATCATTTACTCACCTTCATTTCGTTCCAACACACATTTGACTTTTTTTACATGTACTACAAAAGGAGAAGAATGAACTGGCCATATGATCCATGCTGTTAAACTCCAAAATGACAAAAGCGCACCATTAAAGGGGTCTTATTATGCTTTTTTACAAAGTCTTGATTTTGTTTTGGGGGTGTATTAGAACAGGTTCTCATACAAGGTTGTTCGAAAAACACATTATTTTTCACATATTTTACATTATTACAACACCTCTCTCCCCAGTCTGGCATGAACGGCTCGAATAGTTCCTGTATCAAATGAAGGCCCGCCTTCTGAAATACGAAATGTGCTATGATTGGTTAGCTGGGCCAGTGTGTGTTGTGATTGGCACCACTCGGCGCCTGGTCGGGAAATGTCATGCTCCTTACCATAGTCGCCTGCGAGCTTCAGTGTAAATATTGCATCAAAATCAAATCAATTTGAGCGCGATTTGGGAAAGCTAGCGTGTCTCCGACATAGTGATAACACTCGTTGCCTTCTCTAGTGCAGCTCAACCAGGTCTCATCCCATGCATCGGTATTTGTGATATGTAGTCCAAACGAGTTGTTCGCTGTAGTTTTTGAAAAGTGATTTCTGTTAAATAAAATATCTCTTTTTGAAGTGGACTTTGAGCTTTGTAACTGTGCAAATCTTTTTTATTCTCAAACAGCAACATTACAGACTAACTAAAGTTGCAAAAGTGAAAAAGTATAATAGGACCCCTTTAAAGTATCATGAAAGCAGTCATGACTGCACTATGTACAAAGTCTTTTAAAACCATATGTTAGCTTTGTGTAACAGACCAAAATGTGACCAAAATCTTTCTGTATTGAATATGAATATATGGAAGAGCAACTGAGATATAAAAGTTACAGTGGAGCAGTGTTAATTTAGTATTATTTATGTAGTATTTATTAATATTTTGAAATTTTTATGTTTTAAGTTTTTTTAGTTTAAGTTTTAGTAATTTTGTTATGTGCTTTAGTGATTTTTTATTATTTTCCCCAATATTTATATTTAGCTTTTATTTATTTTTATTTTATTTTAGTCAGTCGCAAAGGCAAGTTTTTTTATTGAATATTTATGTGTGTGTGTGTGTGTGTGTGTGTGTGTGTATTATTTAAATTAACAAAGATATTTTTTATAATTTTAGTTTTAGGCAAAAACTGCAGTAGAGGGGAAGATTTGAATTTGGCTCAGTTTTTTATTTATTTATTTATTTTTCACACAAAACCATTGTATGGCTTCAGAAGACTTGGAATATACCTGTAGCTACTTTTTGTCATTCTGGAGCTCAACAGCTCAGATTCCCCTTCACTTTCTTTATATGAAAAAGAGTGGCTATTAAATTCTTCAACATTTCTCCTTTCACCTTCCACTGAAGAAGAAAGTCAAATGAGTTTGGAACCACATCAGAATTTGAACATTTTCATTTTTGGCTTTACAAAAGAATTTTCAGCAAAGGAGATGCCCTACCTTGACACTGCTATTTCCACTTTAGTCCTGGCGATAGCTGACGCCCTTCGAGCCCCCTCCACAGCCCTGTCCACTTTTTCTTTAGTTTTATGGTTTTTAAGAGGAATAAGCTGCTTCCTTATCCCACGCACCAACACATTATTTTTATACTTCCCCTCTTCTTTGGTTCCATCTGGGAATATTGTGCATCCGTATCCATGTCTCTTGTTGTTCATCCATTCCCCTTCGTACTTCAGCCCACTGGATCGCTCACTGACTCCAAACCCATTGCGTTTGTCATTCTTCCACTCGCCCATGTATGACTCTGTGGTGGTGGCGTCCACATGGTCCTCCATGGAGGTGTACTCATCGGGCACCTCTCCGTCTCCATAGCTGATGGTGGAGTTGGCGTCGCTGGAGCTGATGCGGCTCATGGTGGCGTCGCTACGCGCCGAGCTCCGTTTGCTAGAGATGGACGTTTTGGAGTCAGATTTACGTAGCTGGCGGAGGCTGCCGAAGAGGGACCCACGGCGGAACAGGCCCTTCTTCTTCCCGGTGACGACTTCGGTATCGCTGTGAAAATTCAGCACGAAACCACCACGGCTTCCAACTGGTGTGTCGGGTACCGCATCCTGCAGAACAGCACCATTGCTTTGCACACTTCTTAGGGAGGCCAGGGAGGTGCGAAGCGGAGAGCGGATAATGGTTGCCATTCCATAAGGCACGCTCTGTCGCACACCATAGCCATGCCTCATGCCACCCATCCACTGGCCTTGATATGTGCCTTATGAAATAGAAAGAAACATTAAAATCAAGTAGATCAAGTAAGCAAACAGCGCAGTGTAATTGATGAAAATTGGATAATTAAATTCTCTTGCCCCTTCAGTGATGCATGACAAATGTGTTTTAGGTTCACTGTGTTCATCAGAGTCAGCCTAATCTAAAATCACTGACACAAATGACACAGACCCCAAAACTAATTAGGAAACTAATGTAGGCTCCAAAATGTAAAACATAAGGTAAATGTTGGATGTCACATTGCAATGCCATGAAAGGCATAGAGTAAACTGTGGCACAAGTTTAATTAACAATCTTGGTCAAATTATGCCATGTGCAAATTACTATATATTGTGCATTTATGTAAAATAAATACAAATAAATATTAATTCTCATGCACCAGCAATTCTTCAGTGTACTTTGAAAAGATTGGGTTTTATTTACACCCAATGGCAATGACCTGTGGCCTTTTTTTATGACGTTCTATTATGTTAAAGATTCTCTAAATGTAATTCTTATGGAATTGTATCCTAGTATTCAGTGGGAAGAACTTTACTGAATCTACTGCATAAAGCTTACATCGTTCAGTGCAGTCTGATTCCCGAACAAGTGATTCTCATGAGCTGGTTCTTATTAGTGAACCAAAACCATACAGCGAGGCCAGTGTGTGTACAGTTCTTGAGTGAATGACTCTCATGATCAGGCTCTTTTTAAAGAATATATCATCAATATATTGAAAAACACAATGTACACATTGCCTATTACAGTATTTTTTGTTTGCAATGTTTTGATAGGTGTTTATATATATATATATATATATATATATATATATATATATATATATATATACACACACACACACACACACACGCACAGAGAGACAGAGAGACAGACACACACACACACACACACACAAAGACACACAGACACTCACACTCACACACACACACACACACACACACACACACACACACACACACACAGAGAGAGAGACTTATTTTATTGTTCTTTAATCTTACTTTTATTCAGCACGTATCACTTTATTTTAATCCAATTTTTGTTGTTATTGTAATATTATGCATTTCTTTTTCTTGTCATCACTTGTGTGTAGGCTACAATGCTTGGCATGTATGTACACAATTATGTCATCAAAGTACTTTAAATGGAATTTTAAAACGATGGTCCAGAAAGTTCTCAGATGTATTCATGAGCAGACAAATTTTCAGACGAATGAGACGTTTGATCCGATTCTTTTTAGCGAATCAAAAAAAACATTCAGCGCTTTCAAAGTGTGTCCGACTCCCGAAGGAATGACTCTAATGAGCCGGTTCTTTTTAGTGAATCAAAAACGATTGTGAATCAGTCGGAGCGGTTTCTGAATTTAATCTGACTCACTGAACCGCAAGTGATTACTTTCGTCATGTCCGAATCGAAATGAAGCAACAGCTGTTACAGTGTTATGTTGTACTTAAGGCTTAAATCAGCGTCGTAACTGACGCGTTGTAGTCAACGATACGAGTTTTGCTATATTTATGAATTTATCAATTAATGAAATACCAAATACGTTACCATATTTTGGTATGTTTAGGCCCGCAATTATAATAATATATGTTTAGGAGTAGGACTAACATTTGTCTTTGTAAACACAGAATAAAATGTAGGCTATCCCTGATTTGCTAAACCTGTAATAATGATCATTTGGTAGGCTAAAAGTCTGCTGTAAATCACAGAATGTCTTATTTCAAACATTTCTTCCTCAAAAGAATAATTAATGGGACATTTAAGGAATCGACAAAAGTAATGGTTCAACTGCTTACGATTCTCATCCCTAAACATGCAAATGACATTTGCAGTGGCACTTACCACCATCCCCATAGGTTTCGACTCCATAGCCATCCTGTAGTCCATTACTCCACGTCCCATCGTATCTAGCAGGTGTATTGGTACTCTGCCGAACTCCATATCGACCCTTGAACCCGTGACTCCACTCCCCACGATAAACCCATTTTCCCTTGGTTTCAACACCCAGCCCGTGGCGTTTGCCCTGCGACCAGTAGCCCTGGTACGTATTCCCGCTGGGCCAGGTGTAGACCCCGACTATCTCAAAACCGTGGGACCAGGACCCTGCGTACTCGCCTTGACCCTTGGGTCCCGTGCAGATGCCGTGTCCGTGGGCTTTCCCGTCCTCCCATCCGCCACAGTAAGTGCCTCCATCGTCGAAGTCGAACCGTCCGCCCGTCATTCAGAATGGGATGAAAATAAAAACAGTCGTAACGTTGCCGAGCGCTTCTTGTCTTTCTCTTTCATTAAACCTTCTTTTCTAAGCCGAGTTCAGCAGCAACGGATAAACCGGGAAGAATTAATCACAATGGAGATGTTGCTGTTTGGTATTTCTGCTTGGGTTGTGAGAGTATGAATGAGCAGGCAGGTTTAGTGCATCATTACCGAAGCCGCACACGCTGGAACCGCCGCTGCGTTTCACCGACTCCCTCCGCTCGCAGGCGCTGCGCTGCGCAGAGCAGACACAACTAGACCGCGGCGCGGCAGCGAAAGACGCCACAGCCCCGCCTACTTCACCCTCACTGAGGGCGCAAGTTCAGAGGTTATGTTATAAGAAATGCTCTCTTCTGTCTCTTCTCTTTTCCTACAGCAAGATTTTTGGTCTTCTTTATTTGGAAAAAATAAAGCATGGAAAATGCTAAACAACTTGTGTATTAATAACAAAATTAAAGAAGTATCCTACAAAATGATTTTTCCAGCTCAGCATGTTTTGGAAAGATCCAAGCTGAATTTCATATACCTGGGAATTTTGTGGACTAGACAAAGAACAATTGTGCATTTGTTTTATCGTTGCTTTTACTCATGATTATTCTGGAAGGATTTGGAAACCCATTAAAAGGAAACCTGGGTGTTTGATGGAAATGTGTGTTTGTGTTTTTGATGTGCTTTTTATGTTCATGACATTTTGGAATGTGAAAAACAATACATTACATAATTATTTATTTATTAGGCAAATCCAATATACACTGAAAAAAAGTATGTTTTTAAGTTTATTGGAGTACAATTTACAAGAACATACTGTTCCAAACTTTTTATTTCAAAATGTAACTGTAGTGATTATTTGTGAAATGTGCTAACAATTTCTGAGTACAAACTGTAAAACTAAATCCTACACTATTTTTTTGTGTACATAAAAATACATTGGCTTTTTGGAAGCCTTTGTTTGTTTGTCTGAAAACGTAATGTTTTAAAAGCACTGAAATGTATTTATTTATTGGCAGCTATGTTGTTAATGATGTGGCTATGTTAAAACCTCTTGTTCGTGTGGCATTGAAGGCTTTGGCAGGTTGTTGAAAAGGATGCATTAGATGTGATAAAAGGATATAAGTGAAGAAATAGACATGTAGGCCTGCGTTTCATGGATTGTTGTAATTTCCCAACTCTCCGACAATTTGCCTGCCATTCACTTTTAAAACGTGAAATCTAGCTATGTTCTTTAGTTTTGTAATTCAGTTTTCCCTTTTTATCAAAATTATGACATTACCACACACTACCCCTACAGCAAGGGCCCAGGAGCCACTGGGGGCCTCAGCATACTTCTAAGGGGGCTGAAAGATCATTTCGATTTCTTTATAATAAATTACAATAATCTAACTTAATTAAAACGCTATATTAACAGCTTTGAATATTTTCTTGGACAGTGAAGACCATAACCTAATACAATAGATATTACATTTATGAAAAACAGCATGTGCCTGTTTTGTTACTCAACACTGAATTAAATCCTTTTTTTTTTGTAGAGATGTCTGTCTATAATCAATTTAGTTGATATGTTTGGTGCCATCCCTTAGTTATGTAAAATCTCTGTGATTTGGATGGATGAATGATATTGGCCTATACAATATAATCAACCCATGTGTCTGCAAAATCAAAATTTTAATTTACGTGTATTTAACATGCAGTGATAGTTAACAAAATCATGTAGCATTTGTGAAACGTGGCAAAAAAAATATTTTGAAATGTTCTTTTTTTATTTGCGAACAATTTTTTATTAGTAGTAGTCCTATGCTGCATATTATAAATTATGATAAAAAAATATATATGCAGGCCAAGTCGAAATTTTCAACAGAAAAAATGAAATCAAAAATAAAATCTCAACCTGTTATACCAGTTTGTAACCAACGGCTCAATGTAATTTGATAGAGAAGATAGACTACAGAGACATCTGTTGGCTCATTAAAAAAGTGCGCTTCTGATTTATTCTCTTCAACCATGAAAATGCATATACTATAAAAATCATAGTAGCATTTGTGAAACGTGGCAAAAAAAATATTTTGAAATGTTCTTTTTTTATTTGCGAACAATTTTTTATTAGTAGTAGTCCTATGCTGCATATTATAAATTATGATAAAAAAATATATATGCAGGCCAAGTCGAAATTTTCAACAGAAAAAATGAAATCAAAAATAAAATCTCAACCTGTTATACCAGTTTGTAACCAACGGCTCAATGTAATTTGATAGAGAAGATAGACTACAGAGACATCTGTTGGCTCATTAAAAAAGTGCGCTTCTGATTTATTCTCTTCAACCATGAAAATGCATATACTATAAATATTAACAAAAGAGCTGTTACCTGTTTTTATTTTAGATTAGCCTACTATAGAAGTAATCATTCGATTTTTACGTTTGAAATAGAAAAATAATCTAAACATACATATTTAATTTGTATTTATATTACATTTCACGATTATGAATGTGGATGTCTGTCCTTTAAGAAGTTGGGTACCACCACTGGAGGCTGCGCCGTTCAACACACTGGCTGTGTCTCAAAACCTAGTGCGCTGACTACCTAGACAGCATTTGTGGCTCAGCACACGCGTCCGTGATTTCAATAAACACTGCAGCGCGTTTGATGCGCAAGAATTCTGCACGCGCGTAACATACACTAACATACCGTCGAAGGCGACTAGGTTTTGAGACACGGCCAATGACTGATAAAATGGCGGAGGAAAACATCGGTGAATCTCAGGATGAGAAGGAAACCCTAATAAAGAAGGATGCACTGTCTCAGGACAGCGGTGAGGTTGTCGAGAGAACAAAAAACAAAGAGTCTAAACTGATTTTGTATCATTGGACTCAGTCTTTCAGCTCTCAGAAGGTAAGAGATCCCATAATTCAACATTTCTGGTGTAGGCAGGCCAAGAGCATCAGGGTGGATGCAGCATCTGATCTGTTGTTTTGATTGTGATGTTCACATATTTTAAAAACCTGCCATTATTTGCATTATTCCTATTCATATGGCAGCCTCAATGAAACAATTGCTGATTGACAGCATGCATGTTAATTATTCATAAATTATAGATTATTAATGATGCGTAATTATGCAAGCGTGTAGGCTGTGTTGAATTTCTTAATTACAATGGTATTGTAGAATTGTAAAACAAGAGCATGGCCTGAGAGTACGAGTGCAAAATAACTGCTGTCTCAGTCTTTCTTTGGTATAATGTTCTAATGAAACACCCAAACAAATGAACGTTGTGTTTCTGTCATAGGTGAGACTGGCAATAGCTGAGAAAGGTCTTCAGTGTGAGGAGAATGATGTGAGTCTGCCTCTGAGTGAACACAATGAGCCCTGGTTTATGCGTCTGAACCCCACTGGAGAGGTTCCTGTGCTGGTTCACAATGACAATGTCATCTGTGACCCCACACAAATCATGGACTATTTGGAGCAGAACTTCTGTGATGGTAAACACTTAGGATTTGGGGTTAATGTTGTGTGTAAAACAGTATTTACATTACAGAATGCATGAATTGCAGTGTAAATGCTATAAATACAAGAGTACTAATGTTGATGAACCTTTGGATGCATTCACCACATTTCTTTAAAATCGTTTTAATCATTCAGGGTGTGATGTCACATACAAATAATAATAATAATAATAATAATAATAATAATATATGACTGTCCCTTTAACTGTATATGTCATTGTGTTTTTTATTTATTTATTTAGTTCAACATGGCTAACCAAGTCTCTCTAGACTACCAGTCAAAAGTTTGAAACAATTAAGATTTTTTTAAATATTTGTGGAAATGTCTCACCAAGGCTGCATTTATTTGATCAAAAATACAGTAAACGGTCATATTGTAAAATATTATTATAACTGAAAATACTAGTTTTTGTTTTAATATATTCTAAAATATAATTTATTCCTCTGATGTAAGAATTTTCAACAATCATTACTCCAGTCTTCAGTGTCACATGATCCTTTAGAAATCATTTTAATATGCTGATTTGCGGCAATAATACTTTTAGTCAGCAAGGATGCATCAAATTGATCAAAAGTGACCATAAAATGAAAGTCTTGAAAAAAAAAATCACAGTATCGTTTTTTTAAACAAACATATTAAGCAGCAAAAATGGATAATAAGAATTATTATCAATAGTTGAGCACCAAAAATAATTAATATTAATTGCACAGCAAATCAGCATATTAGAATGATTTCTGAAGGATCATGTGACACTGAAGACTGGCATAATGGCTGCTAAAAATTTAGTTTCGCAGTCACATAAGTAAATTACATTTTAAAATACATTATAATAAGAAACTTTTTTTTTTTTTATTACATGATGTGACCTGTAGTCATTATATTTTAAATTAAAATAAAATAAATGGTTGGGAATATTTCTGTTATTGTTTTAAAGTAAAAAGAAACATTAAGTTTTGTCTTAGTGATTTAATAATTCATGCATCAGAGGGTTCAATAAACGCATGACTAAACAAATGAACTCCTGCACCTGAATACACATTTAATAAATGCATTTAAAACACTCCATTTTCATAATGTCTGTATTAGCTGTCAGCTGATTTCCAATGTGTTAATAGCTGTAATTGTTTGATACTGCAGGCTTATGTTTTTTTTTTTTTTTTTGTGAGCTGCTTTTGCTGTGTTCAGTGCATTTGTTATCTTTTTTCATTTGGTTGCATTTGTGTTTGCATGTACCATTTTATGTTCTGCATGCCTCTGCAGAAATTTGGATAGCATGATGCAATCGTGAACGCAATGAAGGGTGAGTCAAAATAAGATATTTGCCCTGGAGAGCAGCTCATGTAGATTGCAGCTACATTTTTGGGTCATAATGCATACTCTATATGTGCTTTGTGCCCTTCTCTGAATCAGAGCATACCCCAAAGCTGATCCCAGAAGAGGGAAGCACGTATTATCATCGAGTTCAGCATTACAGAGAACTGCTGGACTCACTGCAGATGGATGCGTACACCCATGGCTGCATCCTTCACCCAGAGATCACCGTAGACTCCCACATCCCAGCTTACGCCACCACCCACATTCGCAGTAAGAAAGGGACTGAGCATAACTTAAAATGAGCCTTCAATTTTTTGTGAATACTGTGAATTAAAGGAATAGTTCACTCAAAACAAAATTGAAAATGTACTCACCCTGAGGCCATCCAAGATGTAGATGAGCTTTTTTCTTCATCGGAACAGATTTGGAGAAATTTAGCATTACATCACTTGCTCACTAATGGATCCTCTAGCAAAAATGGATAATAAGAATTATTATCAATAGTTGAGCACCAAAAATAATTAATATTAATTGCACAGCAAATCAGCATATTAGAATGATTTCTGAAGGATCATGTGACACTGAAGACTGGCATAATGGCTGCTAAAAATTTAGTTTCGCAGTCACATAAGTAAATTACATTTTAAAATACATTATAATAAGAAACTTTTTTTTTTTTTATTACATGATGTGACCTGTAGTCATTATATTTTAAATTCAAATAAAATAACAAAACAAAATTGAAAATGTACTCACCCTGAGGCCATCCAAGATGTAGATGAGCTTTTTTCTTCATCGGAACAGATTTGGAGAAATTTAGCATTACATCACTTGCTCACTAATGGATCCTCTGCAGTGAATGGGTGCCGTCAGAATGAGAGTCCAAACAGCTGAGAAAAACCCACAAGTAATCCACATGACTCCAGTCCATCAATTAACATCTTGTGAAATAAAAAACCTGCATGTTTATGAGAAACAAATCAATCATTAAGGCATTTTAACTTTAAAATTTATTTTCTGGCCAAAATACCAGTCCATAATCCATAATATAATTTCCTCCAGTGAAAAAGTCCCCTATAGTCCTCTCAAAACAAAATCTACTGATATAGGCTATTTGTTTAGAACTGTTTTGGACTGTTTATACTTGTAAATGGTGATTGATTTTTGCATATTTCTGACCCGATTCAAAAGGGACAGCTTTTTTCACTGGAGAAAGCAATATTATGGATAGAGGATTCGCATTTTAGCTGGAGGCAATGGTTTGAAGTTAAAAACGTCTTGATGTATTGTGGATATAATTACGGATACAAATATGCAGCTTTTCGCTACACAAGAGGGTAATTGATGGACTGGAGTCATGTGGATTATTATTGTGATGTTTTTATCAGCTGTTTAGACTCATTCTGACGGCACCCATTCACTGCAGACAGAGGATCCATTGGTGAGCAAATGAAGCAATGCCAAATTTCTTCAAATCTGTTCTGAAGAAGAAACAGACTTTTCTAGTGTGGCCTAAGGGCAGGGTTGTCTAAACTCAGTCCTGGGGGGCTAAACTCTGCAGGACAGTGGCCCTCCTAGAGCAGAATTGGACACCCATGGCCTGAGGGTGAGTAAATTATAAGAATTTCAATTTTGGGTGAACTATTCCTTTAACAGTGATTTCTGTCTTATAGCACAGATTTTAAACACGGAATCTGAGCTTAAGAAGCTAGCAGCAGAGAATCCCGATCTTAAAGATGCTTATATTGCAAAACAGAGACGTCTGAAAGTAAGTAAACATTCATGAAGTGTTCAGTTTCAGTTATTCGTATGATTACCCTTTCTGGGCATATGCTCTTTGTAGCACATTAGCTAAGACCACAGATGATCTCACTGAGTATGTACACTTAATTTAGATTACAGTCTTGTTTACAGTGCCAAGAAAGTGATTGCCGAATGTCACAAAACACTATTTGTTTGAATCTCTCTAGAGTAAATTGTTTGACCATTATAACATGAAATACCTGAAGAAACTCCTGGATGAACTGGAGAATGTTCTGGTCTCAAATACTAAGACAATTTTCTAGAAACTACATAAAAACCCATGTCAGACCAACATAACTTGCCTAAATAACTAGTGTAGTGTATATGTAAAGAGCTCATCTTTTTACATTTGTTGATTGTCACCATTCTTGAGGTTTGTGTGTCAAGTGTTGAAGCCTACAGTATGTTCAACCATTTAAAAGAATATCCTGGATGTCCTTGCTTTGCAGGATGATTGTTCCTTCACAAACAAAGATAGCATAGATCACATAACATATCAAGTGTCCTATAAGATAACTGCTATCAAAAAATAAATTCATTTATTGTTACTAAATGAAAATTTGCTGAATAATAAATCAGTAGTTGTCTTGACAAACGGATTGGCTGAATGGGGCATATTGCATTTAATAAACGAACAAATTGAAATTGACAAAACAAAGTACTGTCACTTAGTACAATTATTAAGAAAATATTTGAGAGAACCTAAAAAGTTGCCTTGGATTTTTACATTTTATCTACAATTTATTTTTTATGGTGCATTATACAAGTGTTTTCAAGTAACTTAAAATGTGTTTGATGTGGGAGCATAACTGGTTTTATTCAAAATAATAATAAAAAAAATTTAAATTAATTATTATTTTAAAAACTCTTTAAAACGTTTAAGGCCCGTTCGCACCAATAGCAGAGTCTACACCACAACTATAACTCGAGCTATAGGGCAGAAGATAAAACTGCAGCGCATGCTTATCATAAACAGAACCTTATTGTCTGTTGGTGTGGATGCTCATATACTTATCATTTTCTTTATAGTTATAGTTCTTAATGTGAACTGGCTCCTTATTTTTTCAGTATTGTGACATACAGTGGGGCAAAAAAGTATTTAGTCAGCCACCAATTGTGCAAGTTCTCCCACTTAAAAAGATGAGAGAGGGTGGCTGACTAAATACTTTTTTCCCCCACTGTATATGTGTCTAACGGATTATTGAAAAAAGAAAAAAATGTAGGACAGGGCCTTGGTTCTATCCATCGGTTATTGATACGATTGAGGCAGTTGTGAAAGTAAGCTTGCAGTCGATTGTAAGAAAGGGGCAGGGTCTTAAGTGGACTAAATGAATGGAGAAGTCTAGCATATGTCATCAGCGAGAAGTCTGTCGTTTCACCATAAGATAGAGTTATGATATTTTAATTAAGAATTGTAAATAAATAAATAATGCATGGATGAATTGTTCACAGTAAAACCATTAAGATGCATTTAGAACAGTTTTCATTAATACATTTCTATATCATGCCAAGTATTTAAAAAAATCTGGATTCTAAACCTGTCACTTTTCATCTTATCATCTTTCCAGAAGAGGGCAGTCAGCAGGCTTGGCTCTGTGGTGACTTCTTTAGCATTGCTGATGTCTCTCTCGCTGTCATCCTTCACCGCCTCAAGTTCCTGGGTCTGTCCCGTCGGTACTGGGGAAATGGGACCCGGGTCAACCTGGAAACGTATTATGAGCGTGTCCTGAACCGGCCGACTTTCCGCAGAGTGCTTGGACAAGTCAATAACATCCTCATATCCGCTGTGCTGCCCACCGCATTCAGGGTGGCAAAGAAAAAGGCTCCAGCCTTTGTTGGTGCCACTTTATTGATTGGCTTGATAGGGGGCGCCACTTACCTGGCTTTCAGTTATTTTAAAAGGAGACTTCTCATATCTTGAGACAGCTATTGGGACTGTCTCAACATAAGGTATGTTTATTATCACATTCGGCTCATATACACTGTACCAGTTTGATGATTATTGCACAAGAAGCACTTTTTTTTGCCATAATAAGAAGCAAAGCAGAGAAACAGACACAGTGCATCTTTTCATTGTTACAGTTCATTAAACAGACTTAAATGGCTTCAATTCATACTGTAGGTCCTTTATGGTCAATGTGTTTTGTGCTAAAATGTCAGTATTAATGTCTGGTCACAATTACAGTAGAATCAGTTACAGAAACAAAACTCTCCGATTTTCTCACATCAATTTTGTATAATCCAACATCCTTTCATATACACAATAATGTATATGTAGGATGATAATTGGTCTGTTCTGCATTAGTATCTATTAATTCAGTCATGCTTTTCACTTAATAAGTCAAAGGATATTCAATACTACTGTATATGCAACAGTAATTTCTCTGCACAGAAGTCAAATATAATAAAGCATATTTCTCAGTGATGCAAGTGTCTAATTTAAAGTAATTACAGTATAGTTTTGTGTGTGTGTGTGTGTGTGTATTTCCATATCTTTTTAGATAACTGGTATAAATCTCTAAAAAGTTTGCCAGGTCTTCTGAGGTAAATGGAAAACCTACTTGAGGTTATTCCACTTTAATAAGTAAGTCACAGTTCACATACAATATGGGAAGGAACAAATATTTTACAAAAAACTGAGTACAGATTATCAGACTGTCAAAAGATTTGTGCCCATGAAGCCATCGCACCAAATTTTCATTATTATAATGTTATGTTTCATTTTTACCTAAAACTACCACGATATTGATTTGAGAACAGCTGCAATCTGTACAGTCCAATTCGCTTATGAATCGTTCAATGTGATTTGCAAACTGATTTATCAGGTTCATTGAAAAGAATCAGGGCTGTGTTTCCCAAAAGCATCATAGGCCCAAGTAGATTGTAGACCCATTGCCACCAATGGTCTCTACGATCAACTTAGATTATGATGCTTTTGAGAAACGCAGCCCAGCTTGTTTACAAATCGGACACCGGTATCTCCTCAAGAAAGGCCACATGCAGAGCTTTGCCAAAACGATGAGACTAAAATTGAATTATTTGACCTCAACACCAAACGATATGTCTGGCAGAAATCCAATACAGCTCACCATCCAAATAACAGCATTCCTCCAGTAAAGCATGGAGGTGGTAATGTCCTGTTATGGGGGTGTTTCTCTGCAGCAGGGACTGGAGCACTTGTCAGGATAGAAGGAAAAATGGATGGGGCAAAATGCCGTCAAAAATCTGCTGCCCTCTGCCAGAAAGTTGTCAATGGGAGAAAGGTTTACCTTCCAACATGACAATGATTCCAAAGCACACATTTTTGTATGTTTAAGGTATTTTCTGACATAGTAAAATCACTTTGCTAAAATCGCTTTGCTTTTTTGCTTAGAAAAATCGGGTCTAAAACTCTTATTTAATTAGTTGTTTTAATTTTATTTTTAACATTTTTACACCTTTTGTTTTCCTAAACTTTTCCACAGACCCCTGGGTCCCCAGTTTGAAAACCACTGGCCTATAGGAACATTTTATTTAATAACATCAATTAGAATACAAACTAAATCAACCTATATACTTTAAATAACTAGTTTAATATATCAGTCACCATCAAATTGAACTGAACTTGAGCAGTTCTGCAAAAAACAGTGGGAAAATATCACAAAGTCTAGATGTGCAAAGTCAGTAGAGACATATCCCAACAGACTAAAGGCTGGAATTAAAGCAAAAGGTGGTTCAACAAACTTGCCACAACTTTCCACAACTTGAACGTAAGGTCTCAAATTTATGAATGAACCACTAATTTAAAAATCTTCCCGGTCTACTGGCATTTGACATTTGTTATTTAAAAAAATAAAGATTTATTTTTAAATAATCTATTGTAATTGTTCCAAGTTAGGTACCTATGGGGAAAAAAAGTTATGTTTGTACAGTAGGGACCACACCAGCAATATTTGTTTATGAAAGCAGGATAAGCTCAAAGGAATTTTATCAATCTTATAATTGCAAATCAAGAAAAACCTAAGACCACCTAATTTTGAAAAAAAAAATAAATAAAATGGGTATAAGACATAAAGAAGTTGGGTTTAGAATGAAATGTCTAATCCAATTAATTTTAAAAGTGTTATTTAGAGTACAGAAAGCAAGGAAGTTCAATCCATTTGAATTCATAAGTATTCATTATTGTAGATTTCCTAATGTAATGTGTTTTGTTCCTCCAAAGAAAACTAACACATCTTCTTGGAAACACCGAGTGAAGTAGCAGCGTAGACTAAACTTGACAGTCCCTCTGCTTTACACAATACAACTCAAATACAACTAAATCCCTTAAAATCCAGTGATTCAATTTTGTCTTGGTCCTCTGAAGAGTAGGATCAAAAAGAAGTAAGGGGAAATGGGACAACCTTGTCTAACACCACATTTTAAATAAAACCTAGAAGATGAACCCCCTTTACGTTTAACAGAACAATTTGCATTATTGTTTGTATAGCTTTACAGAAAAAATCTCCATACCCAAATATTTGTAATGACCTAAAAATAAAAGCATGCTCCACTGAATGGAAGGCTTTATAAAAATCTAAGAAAAGAACAAATCCATCCTCAACACATAAATGTGAGTAATACATTTTTTTGAAAATATGCCTTTTCTTTAAGAAGGCAGATTGGGCCTCATCTATAAGGGGGTCCATAATCGACTTGATTCTGTTTGCAAAGATCAGGCCAAAAATCTTATAATCATGGTTTAATAGTGAAATCCCGTTCTCCCGTTATCTAAAAGCAATGGATCTTTTTTTTTTTTGGAATCAGTGTTATTAATCCCTGAGTTAATGTGGAAGAGCTTGATTTTCTATCCTCTCTATATAAACCTCTTTAAGAAAGGGAGTGATAAGGTTTTATAAAATTCAGCTGTGAGGCTGTTGACCCCAGGAGATTTATTAACCTTAATATGTGCAATAGCATGTAAGACCTCTTCAATAGTAACTGAACTATCACAGAGCTCTTTTTGCACGGGGTCAATGGTCTTACAAGTGAAACCAGAGATAGAGTTCAAAAATTCAGATGCAGACTGTTCACAAAATTTGGATGAATATAAACTACTGTAACAGTTGTAATATTTTGTGATATTTTGGCGCATAAGGTCTATAATAGAGAACTGGATTGTTCATGGCATCATAAAAAGTGAAGCCTCCGTGCCGCCATATTGCTATTCCCTAATATTCCCATACATTCTTTTGAGTTAATAGGAAATTGTACGTTTTTAAGGAGAATCCGTCAACTAACGTATCAGTGTTTTTAAATCTTAAAGGTGCAATAGATGATTGTCTTCAGAAACATTTTTTGTTATGCTGGTTGAAAGTCTCTTCACATCCCGATAGCAATCATTAAGTTAAGTGGTCCAAATGTATTTATCTGTATTTATGTATTCTGTGGAAGGCGTAGGACCAAGAAATGTTAGTCCAATCAAAACGCTCAGTCCGAGTGTTTTAATTCGCTTTCCTACCTGCCTGTCAAAGTATGTATTAGCATACCTCTACGCACCGGGTTAGCGCAGACAGGATACGTCATCAGCGCGTTCACGCACGCTGTGCAGACAGAGCCAGAATGGCAGACAAACATCAACAACCCGATCTTCCTTCCTGGTATTGTAGTACTTTTAAAGTTTTCTCACGGTGAATGACACATGATGTAGCCCAGCGGATGGGACAACCTTGTCTAACACCACATTTTAAATAAAACCTAGAAGATGAACCCCCTTTACGTTTAACAGAACAATTTGCATTATTGTTTGTATAGCTTTACAGAAAAAATCTCCATACCCAAATATTTGTAATGACCTAAAAATAAAAGCATGCTCCACTGAATGGAAGGCTTTATAAAAATCTAAGAAAAGAACAAATCCATCCTCAACACATAAATGTGAGTAATACATTTTTTTGAAAATATGCCTTTTCTTTAAGAAGGCAGATTGGGCCTCATCTATAAGGGGGTCCATAATCGACTTGATTCTGTTTGCAAAGATCAGGCCAAAAATCTTATAATCATGGTTTAATAGTGAAATCCCGTTCTCCCGTTATCTAAAAGCAATGGATCTTTTTTTTTTTGGAATCAGTGTTATTAATCCCTGAGTTAATGTGGAAGAGCTTGATTTTCTATCCTCTCTATATAAACCTCTTTAAGAAAGGGAGTGATAAGGTTTTATAAAATTCAGCTGTGAGGCTGTTGACCCCAGGAGATTTATTAACCTTAATATGTGCAATAGCATGTAAGACCTCTTCAATAGTAACTGAACTATCACAGAGCTCTTTTTGCACGGGGTCAATGGTCTTACAAGTGAAACCAGAGATAGAGTTCAAAAATTCAGATGCAGACTGTTCACAAAATTTGGATGAATATAAACTACTGTAACAGTTGTGATATTTTGTGATATTTTGTGCATAAGGTCTATAATAGAGAACTGGATTGTTCATGGCATCATAAAAAGTGAAGCCTCCGTGCCGCCATATTGCTATTCCCTAATATTCCCATACATTCTTTTGAGTTAATAGGAAATTGTACGTTTTTAAGGAGAATCCGTCAACTAACGTATCAGTGTTTTTAAATCTTAAAGGTGCAATAGATGATTGTCTTCAGAAACATTTTTTGTTATGCTGGTTGAAAGTCTCTTCACATCCCGATAGCAATCATTAAGTTAAGTGGTCCAAATGTATTTATCTGTATTTATGTATTCTGTGGAAGGCGTAGGACCAAGAAATGTTAGTCCAATCAAAACGCTCAGTCCGAGTGTTTTAATTCGCTTTCCTACCTGCCTGTCAAAGTATGTATTAGCATACCTCTACGCACCGGGTTAGCGCAGACAGGATACGTCATCAGCGCGTTCACGCACGCTGTGCAGACAGAGCCAGAATGGCAGACAAACATCAACAACCCGATCTTCCTTCCTGGTATTGTAGTACTTTTAAAGTTTTCTCACGGTGAATGACACATGATGTAGCCCAGCGGTTCCCAATTCCAGTCCTGGCGATTCAGATAACCAGCTTGTTAGAAGTGAGCTACGTGTATGAACTGTGTTCCGATCGATATGATCCCTACACAGTGTTCATTGCTCCCTACTCCCTGAGCGGGGGAAATCCGTTTAAGTTAACTTCACTTCGGAACATGGGCTGGAATTGGGAACCGCTGATGTAGCCTAGTAATGTTGTCTCTGGTATTCTGGTCTGTGAGCGTATATGCATTCAGGGGGCGTGGCTTTGGACGGCGATTGCAGGGTGGGTAGGACTTTCGCTTTCAATGCTATCAGGCTAAAGTTAGCATTTTCCAAGATCTCCTACTGCACCTTCTTACTGTACATTCTTACTGTACATCTCGTTTCACTGTACATTCTTACAATGCAAACGTCCAAAGCATGTAAATGGTTATT